GAAGAAAGAAGAGAGAGAGAGAGAGAAAGAGAGAGAGAACGAAAAGAAAGAGAAGAAAAAAGAGAAAGGAAAGGGTAAAGAGGAAAAAGGAAAAAACAAAACGCCTATCGTCACCTAGTCTCAGGAACTGCAACCTTTTGCTTGCTGTGCATCGCGATCTAGGTGGCTGTGGTCGGAGTCTCCTGAATGGCTAAGGTTTGTGAAGAAGGCGCTGATGAAGATGTTGAGTCACCTGCAATTATGGAATTATTTTTAAACAGTAATTCAAAAAGATAGTAATAAAATTATAAAATTTAATATAATTGAACTACACATGAATTTTTTTATGAATAAGCATTTAAGTAAAGTAGCATAGTATTTAAATATATTTTTCATTTATATCTTATTGCAATATTATTTTATACAGTTTCATCTCTCTCATCGGAAAAGATCAAAAACATAATCAATAAAAAGAATACTATTAATAGAATTCAATTTTCGAATGTTCTTTTACCATTAAAACGAAGAACTGTCGTCCTTGGTTACAACATTACGCATGTGTCAACCTACGCGATCATCTGTTACTAGTTTGCCTCATCGAGAAACTTAGCTCTACGTAATATCGTGCAATTTTAATAGATCGTATCATTTTCAATAATAATGTTTCTTTCCAAACAATGGTAATCTCATTATAATACCATTATACACATACAATATTCTTGAATATTACATAATAATATCGATTTTTAGTAGATAAGCTTACCCAAGAGGGCAGCCTCTAAATCTCCTAAGATCTCCGTTTCCTTGGGATCGATAAGGTTGAAGCGTTGATTAAGGAGCGTGAGGTGGGCAAATACACAATTAAGGTGAGCATGCAACCCCAAGAGTGCTACCTCTCTGAAGTGGCAGTGGTAAATGTGTGCCACCACATGGTACAGTAGCCGCAGGATCTTACGCACTATCGATTCGAACGAGCTAGGAAATTCATTTGCTGAAACATCCAGGAAACCGACGAATTAATACGATTATGATTTCATGTATATATATAACAGAGTTAGAAAACATTGATACCATTAAGTATAACTATTTAGTTTAACCAGATTTATAACAATAAATACAATGTAATTAATAAATATAGTTTTATACCAAACTCTCTTTTATTTACTTAACTTTTACTTATTTTTAAGATAAATTTTGATTGTTATTTCGATATAAAAACATTAGAAATTAATAAAAGCAACATGCCTCATATGATTCTCTATATCCCTTTATTCGTAAAATAATTATTCTTGAAATATAAAAATATCATAATTATTCATTAGTTAATAATAGTAGTTATTTTAAGATAAAGATAAAACGGACAACTTACCATATTTCGTAGGAAATATAGTTTCATCACTAACGGTGCGTTGTGTAAAAGTCATAACATAATCTATATATTGTGGCGCTGCCACTCTCGTTTTCTTTCCCTTCTCATCAAACCACAGATAAGTTCTGAAATATAAAAAAGCATGTTACAATTGATACTACTTCTCTTTACGTGAAAAATAAACGAATGTCTTACAAATGATCAATAAATTCATATCTATTTTACCTTATACAGATATAAATATATAGATATATGATGAATTACTAAAAAAAAAAAAAAAAAGGAAGAATGCAATACACACCTTAAGCCAGGACCGGTCATGTCAGGACAACCCGTCATTGTACAGAACTCGGATATCGTTCCGTAAACGAGATTGATGTGATCGAATAGTGCAAGAGTATGAGAGGCCAGCCATTCGTTGTAATCCAAACCAGGTGGCAAATCGACCAACATCCTCAAGTCCAACTCTGGCAGTTGCCTTTCAAGAGCCGCCTCCTCGAGATACAATTTCGGATCCTCTGTTGTTCCCGCATCCTTCTCCTTTCGTCGGGCTTTTCTACGAACAGCGTAAAATCGCTCATTTAATCTCGTTTTACCTCTTACACCACGTTAACCCGCTACCACATTTGCCCAAGCAATAAAGCATTATTGCTCAGCATAGGGGATTCATGTGTTGGGGAATTGATCTAGGGAAGTATTAACTTTTTTAATTTTAATTAATTTTTTTTTTAAGGTGGTATGAGTGGTTATGTTAAGTGGATATTTAAAATTATATTTGAAATAAAACAATATCAATTTGTTTATTTTAGTTTTCTATCTTTTATAATGTAAATTATAAATTTTTATAATCAGTTAGTTTAAAAACAGATTATGTTACATTTAAATGAGAAAATATAATTTACGATCTGTAATTCGAAAAGATGAATTGGATGTGTTCCATCAACAATATGTTATTACGAGAATGTGTGAATGCAAGTTGAAATACAATATATGAATGATGTCCTTAGATATAAAAGTTTATTTAAAATTTTCGTTTCCATAACGGATGTAATACTATCGCATGTATGATCGATAACAATTGCAATATTAATGTGCGTATGTGTGTATATATCTCATTTTTAAAAATTATCTATAAGGCGAATAAAATTTATTTTTTTAATTAAACTAAAAGAATGAAATTAAAACTTTGTTATATTATTCTTCTAATTTATAGAGAATAATAATTCAAGATTTGAAAATACATGGATGTACATTCATGTTATATAAGATTAACTCAAATAAAAGAAAAAAAAAAAAAAAAAACAAGAAAATAAACTCAATCCAATTTATCGAATCCAAAAACGAAAATTTGATCTAAACTAATAAAATCTTCTGTTGTAAATCCTCATAATATTATTAATTTTAGAGAAAATCTATGAACAATAAAAATTGTGTAAAGCATACCGGTGCTCGATGATAAAAATTATTCCAGTGCAAAAACACTGAAGTCTGACCGATTAAAAAGAAAACGGTGGAACATTTCGTAAGCCTTTCAATGCCAGAAATAGAAAATAAAAAGAGGGATGCAATCGTGAATTCGATGTCTCGTTACAAATAGTGCCTTAAATTGTGTTTCGAGTTCGCGTTATCGAAGCAGCGATCGAGAAACTGAACGGATCTAGAGCGCAAAAAATACTCGAGAGGGAAGAGAAGTATAGTTTCAAGAATCGTTTTCGAATGATCGAGACGAAGTATGTGAGAAACTTTGAAAAGTTTTTACGATACGCATATGTTAAGGTAGAATATCGCGCTCTTTGTGCCGAATTTATCAACTACCGATAATTCTTTGTTGCAAATTATTTTTATGCAATAAAAATCGGTTATTAATTACTATTAAATAGTAATCAAGTCATTTGAATAGTATTGTACACTTCATATCACATGTAATACAATAATTCGTAATCGACAGTGACTATGTATATTATTATTCGAGAAATAACGATAATTTATATAATGAAATTTGTGGATCTCTAATTTTGAAAGTATATATATATATTATATATATATATATATAAGATACATTAATATTAATATTTTAGATTTTAATTCTTATTTATAAAAAAAAACTAAAAATTTCGTATTTTTTAAATGAAATATAAAACAAATATGCAATATATAATGTATTTGTAAATAAAAATTTGATATTGATATAAAATTTAATTTTACTAATAGTTACGAGTGATATTAATTAAAAAGGACATGAGAACGTACAACATTCAAATAATAACCATGAATTGTTGAAATTTAACTTTGTGACTGTGCGATCAAAAATTAATTTAATTTTACTTGTAAATGCAAGCAATATGTCAATTTCACTAATGGTTGACGATTCTATGAGCGAAATAATACAAAATTTATTTTCACAATGCAATCATTAATTATGCATTTTACGTAATTCTATAGAAATACAAAAGTCGTTTTTAACTTACATGTATATCTGTATAGAACACTGAAAATAATGCAAATGTTCTACAATCTTCAATTATTTATTTCTTGAATAATTTCAAAGCAAACAAAAGTCCTACGCAGAAATATACATAACCTATACACAACCTGTTCGTCCGTTCCTTGCAATTTTGTCCAATACCACTATCATGCCACACAAATGAATTAAATAGCGCCAGACCATTTTGAGGTTAAATACAGATTATGCGAATACAAATGAAATGTTGCATCCGCATAAAATATAAATTTAATTTCAAGAAATCGTACCCGATTGCAGTTATTAATGCACAAACATCTTTGCTCACCATTGATCTTGACTCAGAGTTATAAGTTATTAATCTGACCTGTCTTAATAACGAGGCCTGCCACGACCTCTAGGATTCTCATTATAACGAAAGTCACGTTCTGTTTGTTTGTCGAGAAGTACGCGAAACTTTTCTATTGAAAAGACTAATCACCGACAAGACAAAGTAAAAAATCTTAAAACTCTATCTAACGAAATCAATAGAAAAATTACTCGAATCTGTACATTTGATTCCACGTATGTTAATTAACTCGTTTATTTTTTAACGTGAAAAGAAAAAAATAAAAAATTTCTAATAAAATTAAAATATTTTTATGCAAAATTAACAAATCATTGAAAACAGCTAAGTAATTTCAAAAAACCAATAAACGAGTTTGCGTCATACTTCAGATTATTATTTAACACATCATGTCTGATTATTGGGTGCGTGGGCACGTGATTTGTTTGAAATTACATTCCATTGATTTTCGTGTGAATGACGACTATAATTATAGAATTAGAACACGAACACCGTTGGTTATTTCAAATGATCTATTGATAACTTATCAAGCGACTGATTTATGCGAGCAATAAAATAATCGACGTTAACGAATATTTCTATACAGCTTATATAGATACACGAGAATAATTGAGCATAAAAAATGCAATAAACAAATAAATGAATGGAAAAAATAGAGAAATGATATAATAAGCATAATATATATATATTTAAAGCAAAATCATAAATAATTTTTATTATTAAAACAAATTAAAAAATAAGTTAATATAAAAAGCAAACACGTAATTATATTTTAAATATTTATTGTTAAGAAAGCTAAAACGTAAGCTGTATGTATAATATCTTTTGATTTCTCAATTCGAAATAAATTACTTTTTTTTTCGACTCACTTGAAAATCAAACTTATTTAACACGATATATATATATATATATATTGTTTCATCTTTTAATTTTTATCAATTTCATTAATCAATAAGATCTTAATAAATCTTAATAAATATTTGTTATAATATTCAGATAAATATACAGATATTTTCTATTGTTTTTATTGTTATTTAATATTTTTCACATTTTCAGTCTGTTAAGATCATAATACATTAAATTATTTAAAAAAAAAATTATCAAAAATACTCAACATAAATCGATATATTCGTTCAACAATATATTGCGGAAGACAAATTATACGTAGAAATTATATACATGCATATGTATAATTCGAAAATAATATAATTTCATCGTGGGATTGAAGGTTAATATGTTGGCCTAAATGCACTTTGCGACTAGAGGTCGCTCTCTACTGCGATTTTCCCTAACGATTCTCCCTTCTTCTCCACACCATCCTGCGGCAAATTTTGGAACACATTCAAGCTCATTAGCCCAATATCACTAATACATACTGCTAGCAATATGTTTCTACAAAGCTACCGCATTCGCATCGATTTTCTTCTTACTGGTTACGCATAAAGAGCGTATCAAATAAAAACGAATCATGAAAATTACTAATATCAATTCAAATAATAATTGCAATTGATCAATCAAAAATGAATTCAACGTCCAGTGTCCAACACGAACGAACACTCTGCCATCTACAATACTCTTGTTCGAGCGTCGATCCATTCCTTTTTACAATTATGGCTGCCATTTGTAGAAAAACGTTTCGTTCGAGATTGCCAGAAGTTCAAAGTAGAGTGCAGGAAAGCGAAGAGTCGCACACGGTTTCCTGACAATAGCATGGGCCGAGTGAGCTTGTTTCGAAATGTTTTGGCGTACTCAGGAGAAGAGGCGACCACAAGTACATCGCCTCTTCTCCTGTCCGCTCGGATGTCTCGTAATTAGCAAGTTTCCATCCGACAGCCCGGAAACGTGGCGCTTCGTAAACCGAAAAATGAAACTCGCGGTCTAATCTAGGTTATACAACTGGTAAACTGTGCTAGAAACTCTAAGTCGTGTTAAAATTGACTCGAAATTTTGATTTGGAAAAATAGTAAAAATATATATTTTAAAAGTTATGAACACTTCGAAGTGAATATTTTTTATATTTTTAAAGATATTACATTGAAATATATATTTGATTGAAAAATTTAACGTGTAATAATTAAGATTCATTTAAATATGAATTAACCATATTGCATATGAAACCGAAGTCCTTGAAACCTTGCCAAATAATAAAGTAAAAATCGAACTATCGAATGTATATAGTTCGAAACGAGTTAATTAACTTTTACTAAAGTAGAGACTAAACTCGATTCGTCTTGATCTAATGATCCATTAAAATGACAGCCATATGTAATATAACTTATAGATTATAGCTTATACTTTCAAATTATTTCACTGAGAAATAAATAATTTCTGCACGAAATATTCGTTAAGATTAGACTCTTTTGGATTAAATTACGAATTAAATATTCTCATTAAAATTAAAGATTCTAGATTTTTAACACAGCTAGGATAAATCATTGATAAGAACTCGGGAAAATTCTACATGCGTATTTAATTACAGTTTGTGATACATTCATTAAAGTTGCTATAAACGCAAATTTATCTACTCTTTGAACGAAAAAAATTTTTTTACATTTTTAATTAGAACTGACGATTTTTATTATTATGATGGTTTTATCACAGTAATACGAGAATCTCTAACAACCCGTGAATTTGAAGCATAATTTAAACCGGTAATTTAAATTGGATGTGCAATAAAAATTTCATTGCTATTCGTTACATTTTGTTTCTACTTGTTTCGTGTTATTAAAATACTAGTACTCTTCTATACCGTTTTTCTACGTTTAACAATTTAATATTTTGATATACTATTTACATTGAAGTAATAAAAATTAAGATGATTGAAAAAAATTTCATTCAAATTTGAATGGATTTCAAACAAACAAAATAGGATTCGATGTTCGAAAGTTCATTGATATCATGATTAATCATCCCTATTTTACACTGTGTAAACACGCTTCATGAGCAATAATCATATTATGCAGAGAACATTACATCTTTAATCGAGTGGTTCGTTAATCAGATTAACGAATTATTGAATTTGTACCGAAACAAACGGTCTCTAGGAATAATTTTCCGTTTGCTTTTAATCTATCATTCGAAGTTGTTGGTTGAACATTTTCCTGCTCCCGTTTCTTCGTTCCTCCACTCCTGAGAACAATTGAGAAGAAGCTTCTTCCCAGACAAAAGTTAATTGATTAAAGTTTCTTTATTTCTATCTATTCTCGAATCGCTTTTTCGCGCTTACACTTCGATCTCTAAGTATGAAAAGGTGGAAAGAAATTAATTAATGTTACAAATTGCAAATTGTATAAATATATAAGTCTATTATTTTATGTCGTTTCTTTTTTTTTTTTTGGATGAATGGATTTTTTAATTTTTTTATATTCTCAATTCGAAGTCGATTGATAGCATGAATTTATTTTATTTATGATTTTTTAGAAATTTTGATGATACTTCACATTTGAGAGAGATATTTTAATAATAATAATCTTTAATTTTGAGAAGAATTTTTTCGAGAAAATTAAAAATGAAATGAACTAGTAAAAAATTATATAGAAGTATTATATTAATTATAATATTATTTATAATTAGATTTTATATTGTTTAGATTATATAAATAAATGAGTCTATTCGATAATGAATAATAATAAATAATAATAAATAATGGAATATAATAAAAGATTGTGAGATATTGTTAGAAAAAGTACAAGTGTTTTATTTTATATTGAAAATTTAACAAGAGGCTGTTTAATCAATTTCCTATGAACCGCTAAAATGCTCTATTCGCATGCAATATAACCAAAGAGGCACAAAATGCAGCCATATCTATGCTCATCAAAGCATCAATCTTTTTCTATATATGTTATAAAGCTCATGCCACTGAAAACAAGCTGCGCTTGTGTGGAAAAAACTGGCCAACCTTGCTTTCCCAATCAAATTCTGTTCGTCATCTTTTACCTTTTATCCTTTTTTCGTAGTTTCGTTACTGCCAGTTTTAACCAGAGATCGTAAAATAAAATCATAGAACATCCATAAAAAACTACGACAAAGTCAAAAAATATCTCGATTGCTCGAGGCCAATTTCTTGTTAGTTATTTATTATATTAATAAAGAATTTTTATTATTTTTATTGTTTAAAATTGTATCAAATTTTTTTCATTTTCTAACATAAAATTAATATTTATTTCTTTATTCCGATTCTTCTTATTCATTTTCACATTTGTTTCGCTTGGAACATTTATTCTTTATCAATACATTTCATATTTAAAAAATTAAACACTTTTTTAAAATTTCAAATCTAATTTAAAAAAAATCACTATTTAATTGGTAAAAAAAATAAACGATATTTTAGTTTATGAAAAATACAGACTTCTCATACATCTACCTTAATATTTTTCTCCACCTAACCTTCATATAATATTATACGAAATGCCTCGAGTATTCAAAATTTTTAACTTTGTCAGAACCTTGATCTTTACTCTATTTACCTAATGAAATCCTGTAAAAAGTTTCAAAATTTCTATTGAATTTCCGTTGATTAAGATGATCTTGAGCAAACTGAAATACGTATGTTCGAGAAATCTTGTTTGACTTCGCGTTTTTGTATTTTCGTGATCGCTTCCACGAGATGTCGCCATAATAGTGTAATCGGATAAGTTTCTTCCGCGCCCTCTATTCTTGCTTAATTGCTGCCGGTCATTGCTCGAACATATTTTGCAACATATCGTATTCTCGTGGTTCTTGGTAGTTTTAAGCATTGGATTGATGCGAGAATGAAAAACTTGCATGTTCTAGGTCGTTGAACAGTTTTTTTTTTGTAATCATTGTATAATACTTGTTCTATAATGTTTCAGGTTATTTTATGAAGTTCGATGTACGATAATCATCTCTGGATCGTCATTTTGAATTTTATTCTAGTATTATTAGAGAATAACATTGATGTAGAATTGCAAGATTACATTGTAAGGTTAATTAGAAAAAGAAATTATTAATTAATCTTTAAATATCTCAATCAATATAAGCATAGTGAATTTTTATAATAATAAAATACTTATATATCAATAATAATTTATATAAAAAAAAGTAAAGAAAAAAATACATAATTATTTTATATTTAATTATTTTTTAAATTGAAGAAAGTAGGAACAATTTAATTCAAAAACTTAAAAAAAANAAAAAAAAAAAAAAATTTAACAAACTTTTGTAATCAAAAAAGATAATTAAAAAAAAAATTGAGGAGAAAATTGCTGATAAACATGATACGCAATTCTAACCTTGTAACAACAGCGCATATCTATCGACGAAGAAATACACCTAACTTTTAACATTGTGCAATGTACAATATTCAAGAACAATATTCAATTTCACGAACGAATATGCTCCATTTCGCTCTTTCCAGCAATTTTCAAAACTATCGATAAACTCTCGATTGCACATATATCGTTTTAATTTTTATGTCGAATAAGCAACGGATGCTCTCGGCGTCAGTAAAAGATTCGAAAGTTCAGATTAGATTTTAGCGCGCAATTTGAAATATGAAAAATAGAAATATACCTAACCTAGACCAGCAAAGCGTTAAACAATGAAAAATTCTCGATCGTCGATGCGCAATCAGAGAAATATGCCATGCAAAAAACATAAACGATTTTCAGCCGGCCACAGATAAATATAATATAATAGATTGGAAAATCGTGATACTATCGAAAATAATTTTTTGAATAATAAAATAATTTATCCTTGTAATACGATTAGTAAACTTTTTTTATTTAATTATTAAATAACGGTTTCATTTTTAAGTAAATATGGATGAATCTTTACGGAGAAATAATTATTTGATTTCAATTAGATTTGGTGGAGAAGTTTATTTCCGATTTTATCACGGTTTCCTATTATTATAATATTTAATGCATAGTGTAAAATTAAAAGATGTTACATAATATTTTAAAAACTATAAAATTTATATTTTATTATATATAAAAAATTATTTTCAAACGATAAATTATAATATATTTTAATAAATTCCAAAATATAAAATATAAAAAATCCTTAAAATAAGTAAAATAGTAATTTGTATTTTTTACAATTGTAAAAAATCTTTGTAAAGAACTTTAATTTTACACTATGCACAAGTAGAATGTCTTCAAACGAAGAACACTGGCTTGTCTTTGAATAAAAAATGCAATTTATATTTTAAAAAACTTAAAAAAAACATTTAAATTAAAAAATATTATATTGAGAAATATTAGATTGTTAACTTTAATATTTGTATTAGATTGTACTTTTATTTGTACTTTTTTTAGAATATACTTTAATATTATATGATAAAATCGAATTTGCTATTCATTTAAATAATTCAAATCAAATAGAATAAAGACAAACTAACGCGTATATAGCAAAAAAAAAATATTTATCTAATATTTAATTCAGAAACATTTTTTGAATCACATGTATAAAAAAATATATGTTTTATATTTTAAATATAATAAAATTTATATTGCAAATTAGAATTATTTTTATATTGAAAATAAAAATTTATAACAAAAAAATTAATAACTTCTTAGATAATACAGAAATGTTTATTCTAATCTGCAATTTTAACAATAAGAAAAAAGTCAATAACCGAGATTGCTCAGTTCTTTTTCTATTCTTCTTTTTGAAACTTTTGAAAAGTAGGTCAGTTCCCACGATATTATACATCTTCGAATTACTTCGAATTTTAAACTTTAGTTGATTATGATAATATTAGTTAAATTCAAGATGAAAGAATAATTTACATAGACAAATTCAGCTGTTTCATTCAAAGAATGGAATAACATATCTAAGAATAAAAATATTAGTTATATTTTTAATCAAACTATCTAATCTAACAAATAATATTGTTATTAAAATTACATTTATATTCGTTGGTTCGAAAAATAGTAGACCTAACCTCAACTCGATCTGCCCCCTACTTTCCATAAATAGGTGGCTAATAACACTTCCTACTCAACGTCAAGCCAGCGCCCTCTTCATTGAAGACACTTCCGTACAAGTACACGTATATACAATGTACGCATACATTGTATATATAAATATAAATATAATATATATATATATAATATATATAATATGTATATATATATACATAGAGATCTAGAGACGAGATGGAACTAGACGGAGGGACTCACGCGACAAGCTCGCCGAAGAACCTGATCTTCCTGTGGCAGGTGTCGAGGAGGGAAAGACGCGAGGAGACGGTCGAGCTGCTGGCGGCGCCGTGGTGAACTGGTGTCGGTGGCGCCGACAGGGTCGAGGACGTCGAGGCGGAAGAATCCTGGAGAACGACGCGTGCCGGCGAGCGCAGCATCGTCGTCGTCGTGATCGTCGTGGTTGAAGACGATCTCTTCGGCGCCCCGTCCTCGTGCCCGAGGATCTTTTCACGTACGCTGGGTATGCACCAAATCTTGTTCGGTTCTCATCGAACACCGGCTGCGACACCGATTATCGCCTGGTGTTCTCACCTTTGATCAATCCCTCAAACTTCACCCCTCCACAAATATAATTTATTCTATCTATTAAATTTTTATTCCTTCCCGAGTCGATATTTATTCTAAGTCTCTTTTTCAATCGAAATGTCTCTCACACTGTCTGTTTAAATAATCGATTTGCTTTAATACATTCTTTCAAGAAGCTTCGTTGAACACGAGGCAATACACACGTTGCAGAGTCGTTGTTCCGCTGACAGATCTGTTTCGCGCAGAAACATGATCGACGCCATGTCTGTAGCTAGCGTGGCGCCACTATCGGTCCAAGATCAACGAAGAGAGAATCTGGTCGCGGTGACGCGTGCCAAGTCCGTCTCGATTATCATTGAACTTGAGTCGCTCTCGATTCGCGCGAGCTCCAGCTGAATCACAGCTTTCTCTCTCTCTCTCTCTCTCTCACTTTCACGGTATTCTGGGAGAACAATCGTTCGTCGACGTCTAAATAAAGAATCCCCCCGCTTACGACTTCAACCGAGGATTTTATTAGCACGCTATACTAATGCGATGAGTAAAAGCAAGCGAAGTACTCACCCCTAACGACAGAGAGCGTGCTTCCTCGATCAAAATCGAAATCGGAAAGATTGTTTTATATCATCGTTCAAGAACGATTTTACACGCGAATTACGAAATTTTTTATCAGCTTTGCTATTTTTGAAATTTTATGTGCTTGCTTTGGCAAGTAATGCATTTAATCGAGATTACACTCGAGAGATTTCGTATGAAAATAACTTTATTCTCGGGTATCCTGTTTAAGAAGATTGATAAGACCAGATGGAATGATTTTGTCAATTTGAAACTGAAATTTGATTGTTTTTTGAAGATAATGTTATTGTCGAATAAAAAATGAATTTAATAATAAATATAATGTATATTCCATAGTCGAGACATTGATGAATCTTATAAATGAGAAATCGTTATTTTATAACGTGTTTAAATAAAGTTATATGAAAAATAAAGAAGGAATGCACGATAGAACTACAAAGAGAAGAAGATTCATTCTGTATTATTGTCTTATATTTATGGAATTTTCCGAGTATACGAAGACAGTTGAAGGGAATATAAAACATGCAGATTCAAATTTTTCATTTTTCATGTTTTGTGCAATTATGTAGTAAAAAAGCATGAATAAAAAGCAACTTAAATTTATATATACTTTATAAAGGATGATATTAAAGATTACAAATAAATACCAAAAATATTTATGACATTATATAAAAAAAAAAAAAAATCAATCAAGCGGGTATTCTAATGCGTGAAAAAAATCAATGGTATACCCCGTTATCGACGTGACAATGAAGGCCACTTCTAATGTTTGAGAAGTGATGCTTCCAGTTAAAAATAGCCGAGTGTTTTAAGAATAAATATTTTTAGAATTCACAGATTTATTTTTCACTTCGAGATATAAAACATATCCTGATGTTTGTTTGAGGCGCATTTCTAACGCGTATCCTAACCTAACCTAAAATAAGAAAAACACGTTAAAAATTTATAATTAATTTTTCCCCTAATCTTATTCACCTCAATTTCGTACTCTCATTTTCAATTTGATTGAAAAGCTAATCTCTTGAATAAGTTCACACAAGATATCTCTCATTTCTCGTGGAACAGCAACAATGATCTCTCAAATGATCGCGAGGCTAAAAAGAAGAAAGACAAAAGCGGGAAAGTTTGGTTTTTCGTAGACGTGCTCGTTTCTCGCCGAAATCGAAACGGGCCACGAGGACGATCACGATTACGACTCTTTGCACGTTTTCTATCCCTATTTCCTGGGGTAGGAATGCGGCGAAATTTTTAGAATATGCGCCACTGGACCATCGCCAAATCGGTCCACGCGTTTCCTCATGGATACCTGGGAGATCTTTGGAAGATTCGCGACAGAGAATCTTCTCTAAATTTGAAGATAATACTGCTGTGCTGGCTAAGATTTTGTAAAAGATAATTTGATGAATGATTATAGCTGACGAGGTAATTTTGTTAGGTATATTTTAATAAACAATTTCTCAAATGTTTCTTTACAAAAAGAATTGTGCAAGTTTATAAACGTTTATAATTGATATTACACGTCAAATATTACATCAAATGATTGTTTATTCTGACTTGTCTCGTTCGAATAAATTCTAATCGATGTAACGTCGTTGCAATCCAATAAACAACAATCCTGACTTGATTGAATTAGTCATGAGAACGTAGTTCACAGACCACACCTTTCGCGTGCGTGTTCTTAAATGCTGGTACGAGATGAAAAGTGGTTATAGACATGACGTCTCTAGTGAATCGTGCCAATAATATTTCTAAACTTTCCATTGAATTCATTATATGTTTAAACGAGTTAACGTATTAAAAATTTTTGATTTTTCATTTAAACACGAAATAGTAATGAATAGAAATAAATAATACTAAGTAGAATATTTAAAGAAGCGGAAAAAACAAAAAAATATGGAAAGTATTTTACTACGAATCGATAATATTGGAATATTCCTTTTCGAATTGTTTTTCTAATTTTATTTAAAATGATAAATCTCTCACTCTAAGCAGTTTTCGGCGGATTGTACGTGTGTTAGAATTTCACAGATAGCTTTTGATATCGGACGCTTTGAATATTTGCTGTTGCATCAGGTTACCTATGGAAACGAATAAAGTTCCAATACGTAAAGTTAAACTAAATAAAGTTTCAACTGGTTCAATAGAAAACCGCAATGAGGTAACGCGGAAATATAAATAGCATTACATCCTATACTAAGTAAATTAGTAAGAATTTTCTGATTTCTTTTAATATAAAAATATTTATCAAATAATTTTATCATTAAAATACAATTCATATATATTGAAAAAAAATTTTTTCAACAAATTTGAAACAAAAAAAAATTAAGGAAGAAATTGTACTCTCTATCTTCTGGCTTATATACATCACAATATCGAATATTTCTACAGATATATATATATATATATATGGTTAATAAAACTTCGAACTTTTGGTCTCGTTTAAATTGCAAAATGTCTGAAAAAGCTTTTCCTTACTGAAAGACCGCTCAAAGCATCCAAATAATTCGCTTTCGTGATTCGAAATCGTGGCACGAACACCTCTCTAAACTTCCGGAAATTTATCAACTCCTTACACTCGCAGATATATTTCACTAGATATATAAACGGAGTTCCAAGACTAGATATCATTCTTGGCTGCATCAGAAAACTCGACTAATCATTCGAACGTAGCGTGTGTGGGAAGCTTTATATTTGAATAAATATCCTTCTTTGTCTCGGTGAGTTATTGTCATCAATGATCATTTTTCATTGAGTAAATATATTTTTTTTTTTCAGATTATTATCGCGTTTCAAAAACATCACGAAATATTTGTTTCGGCCATCTATATCGCTGCAAGTTATAATCAGAAGTATAAATATATAATGTTCAATTATTTTTGGTAATTGTATAATAACAAATTTTAGTAGTTAAATGTGAAAAAATAAAATAATTATGACATATGAAACATACTTCAGCAGTGGACAGAGGAAACAGAGATATTAAGAAAAGTTTGTAGAAGTCTGTTCTCGAGTTACAGCCAGTTTTTTTATATTCATTAAAATTCTACGACACAACACAATTTCAGGCGTTTCATTCGAGCCTAAAATGGCCCAAATCATTTCGAGTATTTTCTATACAAAAAATTAAAATACTGCATATTATTGTAGTACAAAAATGGCCGCAACTCGGGAGTAAGGTCAAATAGGGCACATGTTTATACGAACTCTTTTTATTGCTTTTGTATCCTCTATTCACCATTGACGTGGGTCCCAACATGTTACGAAACACCCTGCATAGAAAAATTAAAAAATTAATTACTATTATTTTCTTGAATGATCGCTCAAAAGATCTTTCATGTTATTTTATATAAGATTTTCATGAGAAAGAATTACTTTCGTTAAAAAGTTTTGATTTGTTGTTATTAGATAATTATTTATGAAGAAAAAGGACGATAAGAAATTGAAGCGCGTCGAAAAGAAATCTTGTTCCTTGATAAAGTTTTCATTCCTCTGAAAATATATACATTAACCTAATTACAAGAAACTGATATCGAGCGAGTGAAATATAGACAATGTTTCAATGGAAGATTTCTCGTCCTCCCTATGTTTAACATTCACGATCCATAATAAACAATTCTCAAGATACCACGTTGTTTTTTTTTTTTTATAACGCCTCAAAGATTCCATAATTTTATTGTTTTATATGTATACTACGATATATTTTATTTTCGTTATCATCATTAAAAAAGAACACATTAAAATGGTTACGAGAAAGTAAAAAATTACGATCGATAAATTATTCTCAAAGTTATATCTTTTCAGATTTCAAGGTCACTATCTTTTTTTTAGAATACAAATAATTTATCACATTGTAATATTTAATCTAGCAGAAATCGAAAAAAAAAAATACTATTAACTATACACGTAATAAACTCTTCGTTTTCAAATGAAATCAAAATTTTACCTCAGATTAGTTTATATTAAAAAAACGAATTTATTCTTTAAGAGAAAAATTGTTAGTTATAACTAGCGTGGTATAGATGGCAGAACCATCATGAAATACACATGCTCATATAGGTTAGAATATAAACAGATATAATGTTGAAGTAAAATTATTAAAATTTGAGATGTAATCAAATAAGTTTAAAGAAATATTGATATATCTTATTAATTAAAACTTTATAACTTCAGTGTCTTATATTGTTACGATCCAATAAGATAAAATAAAATCTTCATAAAAAAATATATTCATAACATTACAAAGAAATAGTTGAGTTCGTACATTCATTAATTCCTTATAAAAAATTCTATTCTATATATATCCAACCGATCACAACAGATTGATTATTTTCTCACACACATTATGCGTGATGAAACATTATTTACAAACGAAATATAGAACATTCATAACCGATCACAAACACTATTCCTTTTTGCAGGGTCAAAATAATACACAATGACGTTAGACGGCGCTCTGTAGCTTCCATCTACATATATGTATGTATGCGCTGAAATAACGAGTGTACATCAAACGTGAAAATACGGTACGATTATAAATTTGGCTCAATTTATTGAATCTTAAAACGCGAGTAAAGAAATGACCACCGAGCTCGAGAATCCATGATATTTATCACCTATTGCAATATGTGATTCTTTTAGAATTCAATGAAGCAGAATAGAGGTTAGGTTAATTATTTGGAAAATTTGAAAGAAATACGTTGAAATGGGATATATGTTCATGATGATGAAATTTATGACTAATTGAAGTAAATTCATAGATCTGTTAAATTTTTAAATGATATTTATTTTATTTAAATATTATTATAACAAAATATTATCCAATATCATTAAATACTTGATAATATTACAATTTATAATAAAAAATAATAAACTTTTGCATTAAATTATATAAA